ATTATCTCTGGTCTTGCCTTAAGTGTACATCGAATACCTCAGACTCTATTGAATATTTATTTATTGAATTATTGACCAAAGCAGGCGAAATACTTATTGGCTGGTATATAGACCAAATCGTAGCATCCCATATTCACAATTTGTCGATTTTATTGAAAACCTAAGCCTTGCCTACAGCGATATTGTCATAACCGGTGACATTAATAATGATTTGCTTATTGAAACTAAATTCTCACCTTCAATGGAGAACCTCGGTCTTTTTCCTGTTAACTCTACAACACCTACGCACATAACACGAACCAGCAGCACATGTCTTCTTTGTAAATGATAAGTCCAAAATACTTCTATATGATCAACTGTCTGTGTCCGATTTCTCTAAACATGGTCTGATTTACCTTACCTACGACATTAAATTCGCATATGACACACCCTCATCGCGACTTCATGCACATTAATAATGACTATCTCGAGTTAGCTGTGTATGCAATCAATTGCTATTCAAGCCATGACGTCATCAGAGGAACAGATCACATTTCTTCAATCTCGCATTGGCGCTCTCTTTGATCAGTTTGTGCCACTTGTAACTAAGCTGCATGGGGCTAGATTTAATATCGATATAAAATGGCTGATTGAGAGACGCAATAGCGCATTTCAAAAATTTAAACGATCCAGGTCCGATATCACCTATAACGACTATAAGTTCCTTAAAAGAGAAGTGACCAGAGCCATCAAGTTACAAAAATCTAAGTACTATGCATACCAATTTAGCACTGCGGTTGGCTCTAAACAAACTTGGAAGCGCATACGCGAAATCGGTATTGGCAAGAAAAACAAATTGGTTACTGAATCTATATATGTGAATGCACTAAATGAGAAATTTATTCAATTGTCAGCTTGTAGTAATAGTAATATTTGTTATGATCGTTATAGTGCTAGTATGAGTGACTCCGTGCCTGGTTTCTGTTTTAAATGTGTTGATGCTTGTGATGTCTACTCTCAGAATAAAATCTAACGCCGTAGGCCACGATGGCGTCCATCCTAAATTTCTGAAGTGCTTACTACCAAAAATTCTTAATTATATCACTTACGCCTTTAATACAATTCTTACTACGAGCACCTTTCCCAGCTGCTGGAAGGTAGCTAAAAGCATCCCTTTCAAAAAGCCCAATGGCGATTGTAGGCCAATTGCGATATTACATTTTCTGTCCAAGATTCTTGCGCGGATTATGAACAAACAAATTAAGCCCTTCCTAACTAAAAATGCCTTCTTGAGCCCATACCAATCTGGCTTTAGAACTAACAGGAGTTGTACCACAGCACTCTTAAAAGTTACGGAGGACATTAGGCAAAACATTGACAGAAATTATGAAACTTTGTTAATCCTCCTAGACTATTTATTCAAAAGCTTTCGACACCGTTGACCACGAATTAATGTGCTTGAAACTAAGAAACCTTTTCAACTTCGCACCTTCAGCTGTTAACCTACACTGAGGGGAAAAATATTAAAATCAATCAGTAACGTCATTGATCTTACTATAAACGTCAACGAAAGTACTGTATGTTGGTAAATATTCAATTCAATTACGCGCCTATTAAAATGACCACGTTCGTTCTGAAAAAGCATCCGTGAAGTGAATTATCAAGATAAAAACCAAAAAAAGATTTAATTTGTATGTTGCCTGCAGTGGAATTCGAATCCCGACACTCTCTGCTTTCAAATGTTGAATATACAGCAACACCACAGCACGCGATTTGTACGGATAAACATATACTATGAATGTACAAGAATGATAGAATACAAGATTGCGCCAATGAGAGAGGATTTTTGAGCGTAATTTTTGCGTGACGTCATCTTGGTGCAATTGCGAGAGAGAAATGCCAAAACACATAAAAATATGTAAACAATGCAGAAAAATGTGTTACTTTTAATATTACGTGGCCCAATTTTGCAGGAATCAATAAATAAACAAAGACTGATTAATTATGAACACGTAGCAATAATTTTGGACATGTAGCCCTTTAGGTAAGTGCGATTTTAAGCACATGAGAAAATGGATGTATTAACAGTGTTTGCAATTTCATGTAGACCAAAAGGAAGGTGTGCAGCAAAGTGAACTTTTAGACTAGCCATTGTAAAAAGCCATGCCGAGTGCATATTTATATATATTTGTGGACGGTAGCCAACCACCATAAACTCCACAGCTGTTGACTCCACAGCTTTTATTTGATGACTTTTGAACCATTTCCGAGAGGATGCATTTTATTTCATAAACGACATTACTTTCTATTTTGTCTTTCGTCCTTGTAAATATTTTGCTTAGTGTGTTGTGTGTCCTGTGCGCATATACTATATTTTCATTTTTCATTATTCGTCTTAGTACTTGATTATTTGTTAGCCCCGGGATATAAGTAAGTCCAACGTATTTTTTGTTCGTGTTAGGCAACATGATTAAATAGTTATAAAATTGTGATGTGTTGTGCTAATTATTATTGAATTTGTAATTTAAAATGTAAGTAAAAAAAAAATGCATACGATTTTTAGTTTACATATGTTTGTCAGTTGTGATTATAATTCAGTTTATTGTTCAATAAAACACAGGCTCCCTGAGGAAGACGCAAAAGCGTCCCAACGCGTAGGAGGGAAGAACGAAAACTTACTTTCATTTTTATTCTTCATCGGCAGAGGTAGCTCAGTAACCCAGTAAACAAAAAAAAGANTATGAATGTACAAGAATGATAGAATACAAGATTGCGCCAATGAGAGAGGATTTTTGAGCGTAATTTTTGCGTGACGTCATCTTGGTGCAATTGCGAGAGAGAAATGCCAAAACACATAAAAATATGTAAACAATGCAGAAAAATGTGTTACTTTTAATATTACGTGGCCCAATTTTGCAGGAATCAATAAATAAACAAAGACTGATTAATTATGAACACGTAGCAATAATTTTGGACATGTAGCCCTTTAGGTAAGTGCGATTTTAAGCACATGAGAAAATGGATGTATTAACAGTGTTTGCAATTTCATGTAGACCAAAAGGAAGGTGTGCAGCAAAGTGAACTTTTAGACTAGCCATTGTAAAAAGCCATGCCGAGTGCATATTTATATATATTTGTGGACGGTAGCCAACCACCATAAACTCCACAGCTGTTGACTCCACAGCTTTTATTTGATGACTTTTGAACCATTTCCGAGAGGATGCATTTTATTTCATAAACGACATTACTTTCTATTTTGTCTTTCGTCCTTGTAAATATTTTGCTTAGTGTGTTGTGTGTCCTGTGCGCATATACTATATTTTCATTTTTCATTATTCGTCTTAGTACTTGATTATTTGTTAGCCCCGGGATATAAGTAAGTCCAACGTATTTTTTGTTCGTGTTAGGCAACATGATTAAATAGTTATAAAATTGTGATGTGTTGTGCTAATTATTATTGAATTTGTAATTTAAAATGTAAGTAAAAAAAAAATGCATACGATTTTTAGTTTACATATGTTTGTCAGTTGTGATTATAATTCAGTTTATTGTTTTTATTTATTGTTCAATAAAACACAGGCTCCCTGAGGAAGACGCAAAAGCGTCCCAACGCGTAGGAGGGAAGAACGAAAACTTACTTTCATTTTTATTCTTCATCGGCAGAGGTAGCTCAGTAACCCAGTAAACAAAAAAAAGATAACTTGATGTTTGGAATCAGCGAGCGATTCTACATACAAATTGGATAGTGGCATCTGGAGAACAAAATCAAAATTAAAATTTGTGATCCTGTGTAATTCTACGAAATTCTGATACATAAGTATTGGATTTTATCAGACGTTATTTATATTCTCTTTCANGTTTATTGTTTTTATTTATTGTTCAATAAAACACAGGCTCCCTGAGGAAGACGCAAAAGCGTCCAAACGTGTAGGAGGGAAGAACGAAAACTTACTTTCATTTTTATTCTTCATCGGCAGAGGTAGCTCAGTAACCCAGTAAACAAAAAAAAATAACTTGATGTTTGGAATCAGCGTGCGATTCTACATACAAATTGGATAGTGGCATCTGGAGAACAAAATTTAAATTAAAATTTGTGATCCTGTGTAATTCTACGAAATTCTGATACATAAGTATCGGATTTTATCAGACGTTATTTATATTCTCTTTCAACATACGCACATGCATATATGTATGTATGAATGTAGGAGGGAAGAACGAAAATTTACTTTCATTTTTATTCTTCATCGGCCGAGGTAGCTCAGTAACCCAGTAAACAAAACAAATTGACTTGATATTTTGAATCAGCGAGCGATTCTACATACAAATTTGATAGTGGCATCTGGAGAACAAAATCAAAATTAAAATTTGTAATTCTACGAAATTGTGATACATAAGTATCGGATTTTATCAGACGTTATTTATATTCTCTTTCAACATACGCACATGCATATATGTATGTATGAATGTAGGAGGGAAGAACGAAAATTTACTTTCATTTTTATTCTTCATCGGCCGAGGTAGCTCAGTAACCCCGTAAACAAAACAAATTAACTTGATGTTTTGAATCAGCGAGCAATTCTACATACAAATTGGATAGTGGCATCTGGAGAACAAAATCAAAATTAAAATTTGTGATCCTGTGTAATTCTACGAAATTCTGATACATAAGTATTGGATTTTATCAGACGTTATTTATATTCTCTTTCACTATACGCACATGCATATATGTATGTACATACATACGAGCACCAATTAATTTAATTTAAAGAAATGGCGTGTCGTCCATTTCCGCTGTAACGTATGTAGTGCCTTTTTTTTGCCGCAATATTTCACTACTTCCGGCGAGGCGACATCTACCTGTAATGCCTAATTGTGTGTTCTTTGATATGTTATCCACCGACGAGGTTGATGTCTAAACTTTTTATATGAACTGTGATTATAGCAAAAGTGTCTGGACAAAGAACATTTTAAGTTGATAAAAGCGTTGTAAAATAAAATTCTTTTATTGTCAGGAAACTTACCACTTAACAGTTGGTTCGGGCACTGCATAAATGTCGGTTTCTAAAGTAAGCGTTCCATTTGCTTGAACTTCAGTATCCTTCAATGGTTTTCTAATTTTTGGTTTACCTATAATTGAAAATTTTAGTTTTGATTTTACTGTGTGTTACTATGATAGTTACAGTTTACTGTCACTATGCATTCATTCTCAAGTTTTCCATAATCGTTCATAATTTTACAGCAATATGTGCCCTGCATTGATGTGTTGACTTCTTTAAGTACCAATTTGTATACGTTGTTCTCCTCGACTCGGCGAAATTCTTTTCTTTTTTCATCGATCTCTATACCATCTATATACCATTGAATCTTCGGCGGTGGGTAAGCATGAACACGAACTTCTAAATCAACATTGCAATCACCTTCGGTGACTATAATATTTGACAACTTCTTTGTGAGTTCCGGAGTGCATTTTATTAATAATTTTGTTTCACTTGATGCACAGCCATGTTCATTTTCTGCTATTACTTCATATTTTGCGGAGTCGACGCGAGTTACTTCTTTTATTTTAAGTACATGTTCATTCCCTTCCACAGAGGAACTATATTTTACATTATTGACGAGATTAATCTCATTCCCGTCTTGAAACCATCGGACTTTAGCTTCCGGAAAAGCATCAACTTTAACACTCATTATAACGGTTTCCTTTTCCCCATTTACGTATTCCTCCTCTAAATGCTTTATTATAATTGGTTTTGATTTAACAATGCACTGCCAATATTCAGAAGATTGGCTTATATCGTTTGTAGCTCGAATTGAATAGTTTCCACTTTGATGGAGTTCTATGTTGCTAACTTCTAATACAATATTCTCAGTACATTTTCCTATTGAACTAGTGGAAAGTTTTACGTTTGCATCATTAGTAATATCTCTACCGTTATTTGTTAAATTAATAAGAGGTTTAGGAAAAGCATCGATTTCTATTTCCAGTTTGATTGTTTCACCGGCAAAACAAGATACATCATTTACCCTTTTGATTCTAGGTCCAGCTGAAAGAAGAAAATTTTTTTTTTAATAATTTTAGCAAAGTGAAAATGATCTATGATTTTTGGGTATCTCATATCTGAATGGCTGGTTTGAGCCGTTTTGCATTTTTGCGAAGATACAGCCCGCGACAAAACGATNTTGCCAAACAAGAGCTTTTCCTACCAAAACTGCTAGGTTTTTTTCCATTTAGTAGGTTGGTAGGCTAGATTGGATTTTGGTAGGTTCCGCGACAATAATAGTTATTTTCGAAAAATATAAAATATGTACATATCTCCAAATATTTTAGCAACCTTGTGTCAACTGACATGGCAACACCGGTCAACAACGACAAAAGAGAAGGATGAAAAATTAATTGACAGTCGTGCCGGTGCTCTCAAGCTGTAAAGTGTGCTATCCTGATACATATAACTCGAATGTAATAAAAACACTAGTCACTAAAGTACAAGTGACATATTTTCAGAAGTGAGGTGTGCCCGTGTGCCACTCGTAACGAAAAAAAACTATAATATTGCGTTGTGATTTTTGCTGGCGCGTAAACGGCGGAAAGTTAACGTGTTCGTGCGGCTATATAAACTACATACATACATACGTTTGTGGAAACTAATGCATTCGAAAATGCCGAAATTCAGTGAACTAAAAGTTGAGCAATTGCGTGAAAAATTGCGAAGTTTAGGTTTATCTACGTCGGCAACAAAGCACACCTCGTGGAAAAACTGTGTGAACATTTCAGCGAAGAACGTTTCGCAAGCGCGATAAATATAAGTGCGGAAAAAGAAAATTCCTTCGTGGAATCGCAAATCTAAAATCGTAGCATCCCATTGAGTTGTTCGTCGCCAGTCATGACGACATTGGTTTCATCTAAACATACATTCGTAGGGTTCGAACGATACTATCGATATTGAGTAAGTATCGATACTTAGGGTATAAAAATGTGTACTTTAATACTCGATACCTTATGTGGTGATTTTACTCGATACTGCAAAGTAATCGTAGTATCGAATACTTTTTAAAAAATACACTTTTTAAATTTTTTCTTCCATTGCTTTCTTTGCTTATATGGATTACTATCATTCAATTTTGTCCATCACTTAAAATAAACTGAAATTGCGTGTAGTCTGTTGCATATCATAAGCCAAATAAGTTAAAGTTTAATGGCCATATTCATAAAAAATAGAGTAGGTTTAGCTTTAGAGCTTAATAAAATGACATTTTCATACATTTTTCAGTTTATAAACCTTTTTTATTTTTTATGAATAAGGTCATAAAACTTTGTGCAAAGTTCACGAAAACGCAGAATTTTTAGAAACTTTTTGGGTATGCAGTTTTGTAACCTATTCAAATTTACGTGTAGCCAAATTATTACGTGTAGCCTACTACCGTTGACTTTTAATTCAAACTTGCACATTATTATACTAAAATTGAAAATGCATACCCAAAAAGTTTAAAAAAATGTCTTAATAAAAATTGAGATTCGTGAAAGTATAAATATATATATATATATATATTTATATATATATTTGTATGTATGTTTGTACATTTAACACTAAAATTACTTCTAACGTGAAGGTAAGTTCTGCAATGAAATAAAAATCAAATATTTTAAATTTATATTGTTTTAATTTCAGGAAATAACTAGATATACGATTGAAGAATAAAATATTTTAAGTATCCCAAAAAACGTATTTTAATGAGTCCGATACTGAGTAGTATCGATACTTTTTCCCTGATACTTTTAGGGTATCGATACCATGAGCTCGATGCCAGAATGAGTACTCAGTATCGATACCAAAGTCTGAAATTTCGAACCCTATACATACGTGCCAACAACGGCAAATTCTGCAGCAACAGCCTGGTGTACTCAAGCTAACGATTGGCAGCCGACGATTTATGGTGGCTCAGCTTCGGAGTACCCAGTGCCTAGCGCTTCAGTGCAAGCGAACATAGTTACAAACCTCATCGGCAAACGTATACGGCCGACACGTACATTGGGGTGCACATACATGTATTTCACCATCGCAGTCTAATACGTGGACAGCGAACAACGACAATTCTGTACATAGCGAAGCACAGACGGAAATTCAAATAGCAACGGCCAAGGTTTATATATTAAAGGTTGCGCATTGCGCAGGTCCGTTACTCCTCTCTTGTAAAATTTGGCAATCAGCTGTTCAGCTTGCCGACAAGGGCGACAAAACAGCGAAAATAACAAGCAGCGTGAAAAGTAAAGCAATTGAAATACGCAGTTAAATACGCTAAGCAAATGAAATAAATTTACATAGAATAAAAATTGCAATGCAGTGTGCGGTGTGGAATTGTGTAAGCCAACGCAGGGACCCATCTGAAAAAAGATCTTTTTTCCGTTTCCCAAAGGATCCGAAACAGCGAGAGAAATGGTTGAAGTTTTGCTGGCGATCTAAAGTTTTTAAACCAAAAACGTTGAGAATTTGTATGGACCATTTTAAAGACGAACATATTAGTTTCAACATTTTTGTTATAATACATACATATGTACATATTTTCTTTTAAAGGACTACAAACCAGAAGATGCTTGCGGCCCGGCGCCATTCCATGTATATACACAACCGCTCAGCAGCAGTTGAAGAGGCTGGAAGAGGAAAAGCAAAAAGCGATACATATTCTAAGTGACTTGCCAACGTGCTCAAATATGGGAACATCTAGTGCAACAGTTACGAAGCCCCAGACAGACGCAGCCGTAGTAGCCGCAACAAACGCATGCAAAATAAAAGTAGGTATGCGACCATCGAGTGCTCTTTCCAAGCAGCGCACATCTCACGCAGGCGTAGCAGCCGCAACAAATGAATGCAAAATAGAAGTAGGCATGCGACCATCGAGTGCTCTTTCCAAGCAGGGCACATCGCACGCAGCCGTAGTAGCCACAACAAATGCATGCAAAATAGAAGTAGGTATGCGACCATCGAGTGCTCTTTCCAAGCAGGGCACATCGCACGCAGCCGTAGTAGCCACAACAAATGCATGCAAAATAGAAGTAGGTATGCGACCATCGAGTGCTCTTTCCAAGCCGCTCACCCCAGACGCAGCTGTAGTAGCCGCAACCAAAAAATGCGAGACAGGTACACAGACATCGCCCACAACAGTTTACAACCCGATCATAACAAGCAATGGTACAGTTGAAGACAATTTAGCTGAACTTAAATTATTGAAAAATCAGATGTAAGTTTAACTCACTAATCAATAATGGTTGCAGTTTATTTATCATGTTTATGTATTTCTTTATATTTTCAGACACAAATTAAAGCGATTGAAATTTTTACTTGAGCAGCAGTTGCGACACTCGGAACGAATGCATATTTACGAAAAAGGAAAAGTGCGGGAAAAATTAGCAAGGGCTGAGTTAGAAAAAGCAAATATGGGGGAGAAGCTTTTGGGAATTTTTACCAAAGGGCAAATAAAAAAACTTAAAAACGGCAAAAACGCCAAATTTGGTCAGAAAATGATATAGCAAACTCTGTATTCAGCAAGTGCAAAGGGTTATATCCTCCTTCAAAAAAAGCAATTTCCACTACCTGCTATTCGAACCCTTCAACATTGGGCAACCAAAATTAATATTTCTAAGGGTATAATACAACCAGTTATTAAAATCTTAGCGGCAACGAAAGAGATGACTGATGAGCAAAAGATTTGTGTGCTAAGCCTAGACGAAATGAAAATTCGTAAGGCATACTGTTATGACAAATCGACTGACACAACGCTAAGCCCTGTGAATTATGTACAAGTTGGAAAATGTTTGTGAAAATTTTAACTTCGACTTTTAACCATCTTAATTTTAATGTCAATTTACAAATGACTAATATCAAAATGGAAACAACCTATCTATTACAATTTTGATTGCCAACTATCTGTGGAAATTGTAGAAGACATTTTAAAGTCAGTAAAAACGTGTGGTTTTACTGTTGCTGCTTTGGTCACCGATTTGGGTGGTGGTAACCGGTCATTTTATAACAAGCATCAAGTCGACCATGATAGGCCATGGTAACTATTTTCAAGATTATTTATTTAAACAAATTTATATACATATGTTTATTCGCAACTTATATATGTATGCAGGTTCTTGTTCGAAGGCGAAAAAGTATTTGTCTTCGCCGATGTGCCTCACTTGATTAAGTTGCTACGAAATCACTTTTTGGACCATGGCTATATAATTGACGGAAAGCATGTGCAAAAAGATATCATTGCTGATCTACTATCTTGCACTTCAACGGATTTACGAATCACGCACAAGATAAGCAGCAGCAATTTACAAGTAGGTGGTTGTGAGCGACAAAATGTGAAAATGGCGACGAAGCTATTTTCCCACACGATTGCTCAGGCAATAACAAGAGCTGGGAGCATGGGGTTCTTGAACGGGAGAAATTGGCGGGAATGTCACAAACTTTTCAAAACTGTAAGGCTTTTATAATATACAAACTTACACTTGACGTTTATGTACATATACATTTATATTAACAGGTCAACGATTGGTTCGATGTGATGAACACGCGCGTCCCATATGCAGATTCCAGAGAACGAGTGCATGCATATGGCCTTGCTCTCCAAGTACAAAATAAAATTATAGACGAAATGAGTGAGTTGGTAGCAAATATGAGAGCGACAAATAGGATGGCATTGCTCCCATTTCAAAAAGGCATGTTCAAAACCAAGTTATAATAATTAAATAAATTAATTTCTATATTTCCATTTTGTAGGCATACTTCAATCAAATAGGGCACTAAAATTGTTGTATGCTGACTTGCAAAAGCATTTTAATGTGAAGTACATTTTAACGTACCGTCTAAATCAAGACGTCTTGGAGAATTTTTTTTGGCATAATACGTTCAAAAGGGGGTTTACACGAACACCCTGATCGCCAAGAATTCAAATATAGGCTACGCAGCTACCTATTGGGTAACAATCTTGGCGTTTTATCCAATGGCGCGAATGTAGAGGAAGACGATACCCCGGACATAGAAAAAACAAATCTTCCATTAACAGGTACTTTCCTTACTGTTTTTTTGTTGCTTATTTTACAAATTTGTACATGCTACATTTGCTCGTAGGTACAATTTTTTCTAAAATTGGCCCCACGCTACCTGAGAATGACGAAGGCGAGGACAAAGAATACATTTGTCGTCGTCAAAAAAATGATGTGTCTGAAATTGTAGCGCCAGCCACAGATGGGACGTTCACTTGGGTAAACCACCTTAGTGAAGGCTGTTTAATAAAGCCCAATAACCAACTTTTAAGTGATTTGAATGAACTTGAAAAAATATTTAAATCACTTAATGGAGATGACTTATTGATTACCGATGCCTTCATAAAACAACACGTTGAGAAAGCATGTGAAGTGAACTGCGACGTTAAAGTTAAAAGATTGTTCTTCCGGTCCAGAATGTTTGTGACAATAAGAATTTTAAATAATAGTATTAATCAAAATGCATATACCCTAAAACGCAAATTTAATAAAACCTTAAACTGAAATTTAGAATAAAAAATGCACGTACCTGTGAATTTCAAAAATGATACAAGAATATATTTAAATTTCTAAAATAATGTACCTATGGGTTTTTATTAGACAATGGGCTGTATTTTTATAAAAAAAAAAATAATAAACAATCAGCCCTATTCTGCATTTCGATTACGTTCCCGCATTCCGCTCCGCTGGAATCGAACTTAGGTATTCTGCGTTACGATCGAAACGAAAGAAGAAGAGGAAGACAGAAAACATCTTTCGAAATTAGCTGTTTGCCTAGGAATGTGTAAAATCGAAACAAAACAAAGAGATATTTGCCACCAAACTATAGCAGCACATGAAGTTAAAGTTTGTAAATATTTTAAAATAACTAAATATACCTAGCATCATTGTAATTTAAAAATAAAATTTAAGTGGATACATAATTATAATGAAATCCATAGCCGCGGCGTTATTGCTTGAAGAGAAGAACGAGTCCCAGATTGCTGATGCGGAAGTTGAAAGGCGGAGATTTAGGGACATGTTTGATCTTTTTTAGATGAGTGAAGAGTCATAAGGAATTCATCTTGTACTCTATTACTCATCGTTTAAAGTCAGTGAAATTATAAACGTTGTTTAGAGCAGTCCACAACATTTGCATTTACTACAGAGTGGAAAATTTGAACTCAAACGAATCCCATTTTAAAAGCCGTCAGGAGGAGGGGAAGAACAAAGCTTATCTTTCCATAGCAAATCGAATTCGAGACAACATACGCACCTCTTTTTAAAAAGTTAGTAAAAAACGAGTGCAATAATAAAAGCATCTTTTTTATGTAACTTCACATTTTATGTATGTATGTATCTATGTGCATACATCGATTAATTTTATATAAAAAGAATAAATTGTATTCAGTGCATTTCACAGTCTTATTTATAGATAATATAAACAAAAACGCCTGGACTTCCACTTTGAAAACGTCGCGCAATATACCTTTTGGTTGCCATTATTTTAGCCAATTTTTCGTATTGCCCGTATTACCGCTCGCGAAAACACAGAAATCGAGAAAATTCATTTATGATGACTTTTACAATCATGCATAGTATATTTGACTTAAATTTTTTATAAAATTTTATTATTTAAACCCACGAAAATAACAATTGAAACGTTCTCCGTCAACAAATTTGCAACTTAGAAAAACGGAACTACGATCGAAATGTAGAATAGGTATCATCGTAAATTTCGAAGATTGATCGAAAGGAAACGGAACGCAGAATACCAAAGTTGCCAAACGGAGAAAATTTCGAATCGAGTCGAAATGCAGAATAGGGCTGATTGTATCTATTATTTTTACATGACTATATGTGAGTTTTTAAAAATGATGTAAGACTGAATGATTTGGAAATCTTTATTCAAAAGAATAGTATATACAGGCCGCGACAAAACGATAGCACATGCCCTTTTTTCAAGTTTTTGAAGAAACTATAAAAGTAAACACTTTTTGGCACCGGCACTGTAACAATGTGAATTTTACTTTACGTTAGCAGGCTATGCATTCAAATTTGACGAGCATAAAGGCATTGGCCCAATGCACGCTTGCTTTGCTTGCTTGGCTTTGAGAACTGTCAAACAATTTTTAAAATCTACTAAAATGTATGAAAGTTGGCCTAGTGGCAGCTTTACTTCACTTGCTTGAAAGTAAAGCAAAGCAAACTAAAGTAAGCAAAGCAAGCGTGCATTGGGCCAATACCTTGAGATCCAGTTAGCTGTGGAAGTGTTAAAATGAACTGCGACAAAACGATAGCACAATTTGAAGAAATTGAATTTAGTCAACATTGCGCGGTTTCGAGCGAAACAGTTCTGTGTTTTCTAAATGGTGTTGTTTTTGTGTACAATTTAAGATATAATTTGCTAAGGATGGGACGAGGAAAAGCCCTTAAAACAGCTGAAATTAGCGTTGCCCTTAATTTGCAAAAAAAGGGCATGCAAATTAGTGATATTGCGGAGAACTTAAATAGAAGTCGTAAGGTCATCTATAATTTGCGAAAAGATCCTAAAAATTATGGGCAGAATCGTGGTGGGGGCAGACCAAAAGCAGTATCTGACAGAGAAAAGCGAGCTATTTTGCGCGAAGCGTCTAATAGTCATCTAACTGCCAGGAAAATTGCTGAAAAAGTAGGTGTAGCAACCAATATACGGAATGTCCAGAGAATTTTAAAAACTGTCAGCACCGTAAGAAATTACAGCGTAAACCACCCCTTACCACAGTACACAGGACAGCGCGATTAAGTTTTGCAGAAACTCGTTTAAGTTGGAAAAAACGTTGGCGTCAGGTACTTTTTACAGACGAAAAAAAGTTCAACCTTGACGGCCCAGATGGTTGGGCATATTATTACCACGACCTCAGAAAAGATGAAGACATTTTAAGCCGCCGTCAACATAGAGGGGGTAGTGTGATGATATGGGCAGGAATTGGTTATCGGGGAAAAACTGAAATCAAATTTGTTCCCCCTAAGATGAAAAGTGTAGACTACTTAAATTTAATTGGAAACGAAATAGTCCTACGAGCACAGCAGTTTACTAGAGGGAATATGATATTTCAGCAGGATAATGCAGCCGTTCATACAGCCAAAATAGTAAAGAATTTTTTCCGGGACAAAAACATAAATATTTTAGAGTGGCCAGCGCGTTCCCCTGATCTGAATATTATCGAAAACTGTTGGGGTTATTTAGCCAGAGAGGTGTATGCAGGGAATCGCCAGTATGAGTCCGTATCAGAACTTAAAACAAGCATATTAGCCCACTGGGAGGCCCTGCCTAAAAAATATATAAAAAAACTATTCAAATCGTTACCAAAACGAATGGCTGAAGTCGTCAAGAAAAACGGAGGGTGTACTCATTATTAAAACATTATCATTCTTTGGTTTGATTATAATACTCAGGATTTCAGTTAACAAACATTTTGTGCTATCGTTTTGTCGTGCTATATAATGAAGTTTTTAGTAAAATTGAAAAATGTTTTTAATAAAATTTGTATAAAATATTTATTTTCTATTGCTTTTTGGCATTATATTAAGAAATAAATTGTAATTTGTCACTGAAATTCTTTAACACGCACAAATTTCCATTGTGCTATCGTTTTGTCGCGGCCTGTAAACTTGAATTGATAAAAAATGTCAATTTATACATGCATATGTGAATTTTTTAAAATGATGTAAAGTTGAATGATTTTAAATTGCTAAATAATGTGTCCGACAGAATTTGTATTTAGGTACACCAATAGTACAAAGGTATTTTTGGATTGTCTGTATGCATTTATACATATATATCTGTGTTCATACGGAATATGCAGTACCTTATGTCGGGAAGCTGGCTTTAGTATAATGCGGCATTCCCTTTATTCTTTAAACGTCAAAAAATTTTTTGATGAAACTTAATAAGATGTAGACTTGCTAGTATTGGAACTATTTCTTGCACGTTTATTTGCCAAAAGTTCTTCAATGGCTCGGCGCCAGTAAGTCATTTGCAGTCGTATGCTGCGAACGCCGCATTATACTAAAGCCAGCCTTTCGACATAAGCTACTATTCCATAGGAACACAGATATGTATGTAACATACATACATAAATAAATACATGTGTAAATATTTGAGTATATAATTTGTCCACATTGACCTTAGGCTTTTGAATAACAAAATTATTTACATAACTAATATCTTTTGTTTGTTTCACACGCTGATGACATACATACAGTTCAGTTAGGGATGCAAATTTTCAGAGCCAACATCGATACATCGATATTTCGATGTATCGTAAACACTAACATCGATGCCGAAAAAAATCGCCCCAAAACTATCGATACATCGATATTTTCCGATGTTTATCTTTTTTAATAAGTATGTTACAGGTACTTCATGATTTGCAGGTTTTTACAAGAAGCTGTTAACGTACGCCACCTTCCATAAGGTTTATTAATGGCGAATACCGCTTTACCTGTAAAACCTGTAAATCCTGAAATACCTGGAACTGACTTAATGCTTGTTAAAATTGTAAGAAAAACCTAGTGTCCATCTAAACTGCTACACTGTTAACATTTCAATGGGTGGTTTCTTGAATTTAATTAGATTTCCTTCCAATGTCATAATAGATTTGCTGTTTACGAGCAGATAATACTTACACTCACCTTAAGTCGTGTTGAAATACT